TTTGACACAGAGTTCAAACTCACTGCTGTAATAACTAATACTGATTAATATAATAACTTTAATATTGGCCATATTATATTTACATTAACACAGTGAGATGACATCAGCTAATTGTTATTTACTAGCTAATCTTAAATGACTGTTCAGTACAGAAATGAAGCCCAACAATCATGTTTCACAGTCCTGTGGCCTCAGCCTCAGATACTCAACTAATCAAAGTGATGTCTTAAACAAAATTAACTTTAAAAAAATAGAATATTTTAAGAATAAGAATAAGAATATTTTTCTCCTTCATTTCTGTCAAAGCCGTATGAAACGTTTCTCGCGGTTAGTATCATAGTTGCTAGGCAACCTGGGCAGCGCGACGAATGCTAGACTGCCCGTTTCACAAGCCTCGCACTTCAGTGGTCTTTGAGTAGGCAGCCCATGTGGACCGGTAAGGCTGCAGAGCCTGAATTGGGATGCAGCCGTGTTCTGACTGGGATTAGTCCATAACCATTAAGTTCTGAGGGGCGGGGCATAATGCAGCGGAGGTGTGGTGAGACTGCAGCTGTGTCTGCAGGTTGACGGTGGAGGACAAGCGTCTGCTGTGGGAGAAGAAGGCCTTCTGTCAGGCTGAGAGCGCCGCGCTGCCTCTGGTTCTGGCCAGCGCCCCCTGCTGGGAGTGGGCGTGTCTGCCAGAGATCTACGCCCTGCTGACACAGTGGGCCTGCCTGGGTCACCTGGACGCTCTGGGCCTCCTCCATGCCTCGTACGTTCTCTGCTCGTGTTCCTGTCCCTGCTGGCAGTAATGTCTGAAACAGGTGGTGGTGGTGATGGTTTGTTGATGTAAAACACGGGCAGCTCTGTTCTTCAGGTGTGATGATAACAATAATGAAAAAGTTCTCACCAGCTCAGTGACATCATCGCGTGTGCTTCAGGTTCCCAGATCAGGAGCTGAGGAGGACGGCGGTCCAGTGGATGGATTCCATCTCCGACCCGGAGCTGCTGGATTTCCTGCCTCAGCTGGTGCAGGTAAGAGGTGGAAGTGCAGCAGGTGGGCAGAGCCGTGGGTGTCGATGTCTGTAACCTCTCTCTGTGTCGCAGGCTCTGAAGTACGAGTGTTACCTGGACAGCTCTCTGGTTCGTTTCCTACTGCGGCGAGCCATCGGGGACATTCGCGTCGCTCACTACCTGTTCTGGTGAGTCCGCCCCCCGAGTCCACGTCAGTCACATCTAGCGTCTCTGAGCTCAGCTGCTCATGTCTGTCTGTGTGTGCGTCAGGCTGCTGAAGGATAACCTCCAGGACAGTCAGTTCAGTGCTCGCTATCAGCACCTCCTCGCTGCGCTGCTGTGCTGCGTCGGTCGGGGCCTCCGGGAGGAGTTTGACCGGCAGTGCTGGCTCGTCTCCATTCTCGCCAGGGTGGCTCACAAAGTTCGAGAGGCGACGCCGTCCAGCAGACAGGTAATGCCGCCGCCGACGGTCCAGATGACTCGTCCACCGGATCAAAACTAAGATCAAGATTCATGCTGTCGTGTTGGGGGGGTCCTGCTGTCCTCTGATCAGTTTGTGTCAGAGGGCAGAAAGCAAACGTCCGGTGAGGCGTGTTCATTCACCTGTAACACACCTGTAAAATTGAACCATCGCTCCAGTCTTGAAGTTATTTGATTATTTATAAAAATAAGGCTTTTCAGCAGCTCCCTCATTCAGCACAGTGGATACGAGGTCTCCTCTGACTGTGTAACACACGCTGAGCCGCCATTACTGATGACATCAGCGTTTGAGGTCATCAACAAAGACTTCATGTAG